GCTGCCCAGTTGCTCTGTTTCTTATCAAGCACGGCTAAGAGAACTGTGTCAGTGGCAAAGAACACAGAGCCCTTTAAACATTGTCACATACATATTTCCATGTCTTACAGTAGGTCGCCAAGTACTGGATTCTCCTTTCCTTTATGCATGATTTTCATCGCTCAGGAAGTGTTTTTGTGGCTGCAGCTGGTGGCTTGTGGATGGAATAAGGAGGGAGTGTGTTTCTAAAATAACTGCTATAATACATGTTTCCAAAAACAGTATGCAAAATTAAATATAAAATACGTATGTGTCAGAGATAGTCATATTTGTAGATCGGGAATATGATGCTTTATTCTCACCTTCTTGCTTTCTGAAGTCTTACTGCATAGCCATGCTGCCATTTTCCATAAAAATAAAGACTAATGTGAAGAAAATGCTAGTGAAGGAATATGTAAGTTTCAGTGCAACTTAATTACTCATATTTATAATTTGGAAATGTAGATGAACTGCCTCAGATGTCTGTTCCCCCTCTTCGTCACCCTGTATTCAGAGATCCATGTCTCATTAAGCCTGACTATGCAGTAAAATTCTCACCTGCAGAAGGATAACAGAAGTATGAATCTGCTCTGTGGCTGATATACAAACCAGCACGGCACATCAGAGCGCCTGCCGACATGCTTCTTCCAATACAGGGCAATCTTGTACTATGAATAAGCATTGAAATAACTCTTCACTTTCCAAGCTCAAATAGTTTTGAGGCCCTTTTGATTTTTCTTTAATCCTCAAAGTATTTTAAACCTTCTGAAATTAGAGGCCCCTTACTTACTCACTGGAGATAACAGAGCAGTATTTTGGTTATTTTGGAGAGCTGTACTTATGTTCACAGGCTTATATACAGTTAGAGATATTTAAATAGATGTGAATTAGGCTGGACCATAATATCAGAAAAGTGTAAACATAATCCAGAAGTAGGCATATTCTGGGACTTTTTTTAACAATTTATCCCTGTTTATGAGAAAATAATTTAGAAATAATTTATTTAATCTAGTTCCTTTTATCTGGAAACTGTTAATGTCATGATGCTAATACTGTTGTTGCAGAAAAGCGGGTAACTTGAAAAGATGTCATGATCTAAAGATACATTCATACTATCCAGTGCTTGGGTAGAAATAATGGGTTTCAAAATAGTATGCAGCATAAAATCAGTATTTTTCATATACAGTTAGTTCATCTTATGTTTAAAACAGTCCATGTTTATGCAGGAGTACTCATGAAATTTTTTTCTTATTGTTTATATTGTACAGTTTTGTCTATAGTTGGTTTCACAATTTTGAAATTGAACTTGTGTGCAAATAGCTTCACTGGTGCTCTGGCAGAGTTTGCATGCTGGCTGTTCCACATTTGATTTTGGCAAGCAGTTGTTCCTGGAATAACTCTTTTTAATACTAGATTGCAAGTTGATATGTTCCCCTGCGTAAGTACTTCACAGATGCCAACATTCCAGTTATTTGTTTCTCCATGGGCAGGATCTGGTGTTAATACAGTCAAAATGTGTTGTTTGGCTTTGAAAAATAACGCATTCTTTAGTGTTTTGTTGGTCTCTCCTTCTCTATTATGGGAGATGTAAAGAAAATATAAATATTATTCACCAATTCAAAAATAAAATACATGTTCTATTCAGTAGGCAGTTTGTGGGTTCTGTCTCATCTTAACATTTTTCTGATTTAACCTTCCTGACATACTCAGTATTTGGCAAAACCAAGCAGGTGATGCATCCAAACACACAACTTTCAGTTAAGAACTGGCATATAGGATCATACCAAAATTATTCAACTCGGTATGGAGCAGCCCGTAAGCAATTCCTGAGAGAGGATTACAAAATCAGGTGCAACGGGTGTTCGTTCTCCTGGGGGTTTTTTGTTTTGTTTTTCTTCTGGTATTTCTAGAGATAGCCAGGAACATTATTTGGAAACTCCTATTTTGAGTTTTTCTGATCCTAAAAATCTAAAAATTCATCTTTTGGCTTTCACAGCATGCTCTGGCAGTAATTTCTGTCACTTCTAGTGTTTGAAAACATACCTCTCTGAAGTTACTTTTTAAACCTAGCAATAGTTTCTCTATATGCCTCTGAGAGGTGTTACTGTACTAAATAATGAACATTCATTCTCTACTGACATACTGTACATTATATGAGATTATATATACTTATGTCATATCCACCCTAAGAAATTTCTCTTCTGCGCTGAAGAGTCCCATCTTACCATCTCACCATGTGGAATCTCTTCCGGTACTTCAGCTGTCATTGAAGAAGGAGCCCCTGGCTCCTCGAAGTTCTTTGTTCTGTTGTAGTAGCTGTAACAGAGAATGCTAATACTACAGATTGTATGGTTTCTAGAAAATAATTTAGCAAAACAAGATGTATGTTTATATTTTAGTTTAGTATTAGTAAGTTAGCATCGCAGGCTGTGTGTATATTCCTTATCCTCTCACCGTGTTGTATGCCGGAAGGCCCAATAGAGGGCAGCTGATACTTTCGGAATGAGGATTAACACTGGGTTTGTTTTCCTTCACTGCTGTTAGGTTGGTCGTCTAGAAAATGCAATTGGCTGGTATCACAGTCACCCTGGCTATGGCTGCTGGCTCTCTGGGATCGATGTTAGCACCCAGATGCTTAATCAGCAATTTCAAGAACCCTTTGTAGCAGTGGTTGTAAGTACTGGCTGATAGTTGATAAAACTGTGTAGCAAATTATGTTGAGGGGGGAATAATTTTTAGATTTCAGTCTGTTAACATTCGAGTAGTGTGTATTTTGCACGATGGAAGTGTTAGATCGAAATTTTAAATTAGTATTGCTCCTTTTGCTTTGCTGGCCACATACTGGTCAGAGCAGTAGTATTGCTTACCTAGGCCATTTTCACGGTGTTTGTTCCAGGTCTGGTAGCTCTGTACAAATCCATATATTACTCTTAACTTAAAGTTCTACTTGGTACTTTTGCAAAAAAATGTGTTGAGCAATCCATATTCAACCTCCTGCAATAGAACAAAAATCTGTTTCTTTTGTTCTCTTCATCGCTTCTGTCAAAACAGAGCAAAGTGAGTTCACAGAATTCTGTTACTTTGCATCTAAAATGTCTTTTAAATCAGTGGCTTGGTACAAGGTAGAAGATACTGGAAATCTATCTTTGAAGAAAAAATCTGAAGAAACTCTTTGGGCCCTTCAGGTCTTCCAGGCTTCAGATCACATTTGAAATCAAAAGTAAACCTTATTTTAGATACTACTTGTATAACCATTGCTACTGAAGGAAATAAAGGAAAAAAGACTGAAATTAGTCAGAATGAATATAACTGATGAAATAATTACATTAGAAAAGGCTAAATCACCCTTAAGAAATATTTCCACCATGTGAGTTCTATGTTATGATATAATTTTACAGATTCAGAACGCTTTCCTTGGGACTGCTTTTTTATTCTTTTTTTTTTCTTTCCTTTTTTTAATGACTTTTAAAATTAAACATGGCATTAGTAAATATGGTAGCAAGGAGATTCCTTCATTAGTTTCCTATATTTTCCACCAGAACACGGTGGATCACGTAATATTATTTCTTACCTCCAGTGGTTATAAGATTAGAATGCAGATTTTTTTTTATTATGGTTTATTGATTGCTCTTATGTGCAATTTCTTTAAAGTATTTGGGAAGTAAGGAAAATGAGTTTGAAAAAAATGGTCCATAGAAGGCTATTGATATTCCCATCTTTTTAGAGAGTCTCATACCAACAGACGCCAACTAAAAAGTACTGTTTATGACGAAATTAACGCAGTTTGCGCTAATGACGTTTCTGAAATGCAATTACTGTAAAGTTAATTTATGCCTGTAATAATTCATAAAATGCATATAACAAGCATTACCTGTATCTCTACAGATTGATCCAACAAGAACAATATCTGCAGGAAAAGTAAATCTTGGAGCATTTAGGACATATCCTAAGGTAAATAGTTAAAATTATCTAGTGTGTGATCACTAAACTGTCTTTAAATGAGTAATAGATTGGTTCTAAAGATTACTGCAGTTTGATCATCTGACAGTTCGATCTGCTGTGCTGTACTGTATGTCATTGTTCATTCTAAAAGAAAAACGTGCTGATGTGGTGGTTATTGCGTGCCTTTGGATATTGATTACATTTACAAAGGTTGACTTCTAGTTTGTTTTTCATAGATTCTTGGCAGTGTTAAATCAAATAGACTGTCTAGAGAGTGGAGCTGTCCTAAAATGATATAGCTCAATATAGCCATTTTTTAATGGATATAGTCATAGGTAACATTCATCAAAATAGATTTATGTTAATTCTTCTCTATAGTTTTTTAGACCTAAACCCAAATGTTAGTAGCATGATTTATATGTTGTAATCTGCTTTTCATTTTAGAAAAGCAAGATTCAAAGCTATCTACTTAACTCTTCCAAACAAATATTAGGAATCTTTGCAATTTAATGTACAAAAATTCGAGTTAATTAAACAACGTGGAAGGGTTAGGCTAAAAACTAGGAAATCACATAAATATTGGAGATCTAGATCTCCAAATGGAGTCTTTCATTTATACTTCTGGCAGAGATATAACTGTGCTATTTAATTTCAGTCTAATAAAGTTCAGGTATATCCTTCAACTTTCCATTTAATAATAAGTCATCAAGAACTTCAGGCTGACATCCAGTAAAACTGTAATTAACAAAAATGTTTGTGAGAGGTTCCCAGTTGCATTCAAGCATTATTTTTGTGTTGACAAATACACAAGAGATCTTCTTAGAACAGTTTGTGATTCAGGAGAATATTCCCACTTCTGTAGGCAAAACCACTTCATAAGTACTTTCAGAATTTTGAGCAGGGAGAGGAATCCTGCCCCTGAAAACCAAGTCATATATAGAAAATACACTTTAGAAGCGTATTTTTAGGGAGTCCTCACAGTGGTCTGTGGGCAGTTCTTGCCTAGTCAGTAGCTGTGTGCGGCGCCATCTTGGCTAAATAAGTAATTGAAGTTTTAGGTATCCATAAGGCATATCCAAGGCATGGATGTTTCTTCCCTCTTCTCATGCCTCTTATCTCCCCTCAAAAGCAATCACCTCCAAGAATAGGTAGAGAAATATTATCTTAGCAGAACTCAGTCTTTCTTTGAAGAAATGATCTAATCATAGCTTGCCATCTACTTGTTTGAAAAATCTCAACTACGACCACTAGTTCGCTTCCGACATGCATTTTGATAGACCTGCAAATGTAATGACTGCTAGTAAAGCCAAATGTAAATCTGAGATCCAGGAAAATTCCAAATTTCAGGCTATTGGGGGAAATTTTATTTTCTGTAGGAAAAATAAACTAGAATTGCATAAACTAGAATTTTTGTGAAGTGCTTTCAAAGGGTTTAGGCATTCTAAAAAGTCCCAAAATTACTGTGTCATCATTGCCCTTTGTTGAATTTTTAGGGCTACAAGCCTCCAGATGAAGGTCCCTCTGAATACCAGACTATTCCACTTAATAAAATAGAAGACTTTGGTGTACATTGTAAACAGTAAGTAACATAAAAACTACTAACTCTAGGACAAGTTCTCAATTTTTGTGTTTAGGTTAGTGATTCGGTACGGAAGAGTACATTTCCTGGAGTGTTTCAAAGCTTTAAGTTCTTTGTTGCTTTAGCACTGTTGGCTTTGTGAAAAAGTGTTATTGTCATTTATCAGGAGATATTTTAAGGGACAACTGTTACAAAGATGAACCTGGTTAAAAGCTTTAGCAGTTGAATCCTGAACACCTTTAAGTAGTGGTGCTTTCTTAGGGCAGGAGGGAAGGGATCAGATGTAGATTTGGCAGCAGGGGTAGGGAGACTGTAATCTGTCTGCTCTTCTGAGCAGTGGCAAGTGCTGTGCATCTCTTTACCCTGTGTCACTGGGCGTGTTAAGATTGTTTCTGTCTTTGGTAGGATTGGAAAGTGGAGCTGCTTTAAGGATGACATCAGCAACAGGAAGAATTACTGGTTTTTCTCTCCTGCTAGTTTACTTCCCATGAATTAAGAAGGTCGTTTAGTTTTAACCATTCTTTCTTTAACTGTTCTATCCCCAGCCACATGTTCCTTGCTTCATACCTGCATTTACTTAGTGGGTGAGGCATTTGTTTTGCCGGGTCAGTCCCCATATCTGATCCAACTTGTGAGAGCACACACATTCTTGCTGGTATAGTTAAGGTGTGGTGGAAAGTAGAGACAGATTTTGGAGATACAGTGTTTGCAAAGAACAGCTAAGGAAAGATGGGACCACTTCTTTCAGTAACAGCCTGGCTTCAGTTGTATCCTCGGATGTTTGACAAGCACTACAGCTTAAGCATCTGTGTAGAGAGAACTTGAAGATCTCATTGACACCAGTGTGTCCTCCAGGCTGTTGCATAGGGGGTTTTTTGCATTTTTGGTGCATGGATATCTGTTCTTCACTGCATTTGTAGTTGCAAAGTCTGACCCTGAAGAGACGAAATTAAAACAATTGGAATTGGTCTTCCTATGCAATTTGAGGAAAAATCCAGAACAGTAGCTACACAGAAATCTTGCAGAACTGTAGTGTTCCTGTCATTTCAGAGTAGTCCTTATAAGTCTGATGTTGGCCATAAACCCATGCTTTTAAGCACAAAAGGAAAATATGTTTTATCCTTTCTATTTTAGAGGTGGTCAGTTTGGGAGAGTTCATCTGGTGGTTTTTTTTGAAGTTGGAAGTGCTTAATAGTTATTGTTAGAATCTCTGTCTTGGGAAGTTGGCTTCTTGTACAAGCCATTTCTTTCCATCCAAACCAAGAAAATATTTTCCAGTCTTTCCTAGAAGGAAACAGCACTTAGGCAAAGAGAGGGCATTAAAACTGGAAATTTGTCGCGTTACTGAATTGCTGATAATACAAAAGACTAGAGTAGTCGTGTCCTCTCAGTAGTATGGGTAGTCTGACTAAGAATTAAAAGTTTAGAGGACTTGAATGATGGTCATAGAACCATAGAATCTTTTAGGTTGGAAAAGTCCCTTAAGATCATTGAATCCAACTGTTAACCTAACACTGCCAAGTCTACCGCTAAACTATGTCCCTAAGCACCGCATCTGCACACCTTTTAAATACCTCCAGGGATGGGGACTCAACCACATCCCTGGGCAGCCTGTTCCAAGGCTTGACAATCCTTTCAGTGAAGAATTTTTTCCTAATATCCAATCTAAACCTCCCCTGGCGCAGCTTGAGCCCATTTCCTCTCGTCCTATCGCTAACTACATGGGAGAAGACACCAACACCCACCTCACTACAACCTCCTTCTAGGTAGTTGTAGAGAGCGATAAGGTCTCCCCCAGCCTCCTTTTCTGCAGGCTAAACAACCCCAGTTCCCTCAGCCGCTCCTCATAAGACTTCTCTAGACCCTTAATGCCAGTGACTACTAATTGCTTCATAGTTGCAGTCTGAATAATCTTAGTCAAACTTCTCTCCTTTAATTGGTGTTCAATGCCCAATGTGAAACTGCTTCCATTTACTCTTTTTAAGTAAGTTTATGACACTTCCTCAAACAACTTGCATTTCTAATTTTGAGTCTGCCACACATCTCTTTGAAGAACTGACTTAGTAACTCATTATTCTTAGCATGTGTGAAATAAGGGTATTTGTTCTGTCACAGAAATATTAAAGTGTAGTGTAGGGGGTAGATTTTAAAGCATTGTTATCTCAGATGGAATTTCTTATAGAAATGCCAAGCAAAATAACTTTCAAGGGAATCAAGAGGTAGTAGGATTATTGATAACCCGCTCAAGAATTTAATGATCAAAATAAAGTTTAATATAGCTCTTTAATGCTGCTGTAATTCACCTATGCTAGTGACTTTGCATAGGTCAGCTTTCTATCTGCTTTATTATCTCTTGTGAATTCTGTAGCACCACTAAAGCCTGCCTTTCAAAATAGGTGTGGTAGAATGTAAGATTGTTTGCCTGTTTGTAACATTTACTGCTATCAGACGTTCCTAATTGAATTAGAGGTGATATATGCAAAACTGCAGTCATCTGTAAGTACCAACTATTACAGTATTGAAGATCCCAAGCATGGAACGTGGCATCATTGCATTGCACAAGAAGTTGTTAAGAGAATAATTAAAAAAAACTTGCAATCTCATTAAATAGACCACAGCAGTATGTGTGGGGATTATGTATACCTGTATTAAAGCTATATATGAAATACGGAAATTCTTTTAGAGTTAGAATTGGAACTGGGGGTAACTTTTTTTATTGTTCAGTGCTTTGAATTTTGAAGATGATTGCCATTGATAAGGATTTTTTGAGATGCATGTACTTTGGGTGTCACAGCCAAGCAAGACATATTTAGATGGAAGCTTATTTTGTTTGCATGTTTGTTTTTAAAGGTATTATGCTTTAGAAGTCTCGTACTTTAAATCATCTTTGGATCGTAAATTGCTTGAGCTTTTGTGGAACAAGTACTGGGTGAACACTCTCAGTTCTTCTAGTTTGCTTACTGTAAGTACCATAGTATGCTATCATGTGCATATATTAATTCATTAGTGCTGAAAGCCAGACCCTCTACTGTAAAATGCTTAATGGGACACTGATAGATATAGATCACACATTAAGAATCTATTTGTCAGATTAAAAAAGACAGGAAGGTTTTCCTAATCATAAATACTGACATGTTCCTTACGTCTGCTCTTTAAAAGTAGAAGGTGGGAATAACTTATGTTCAGTTTTACTGAATTCTCTATACACTTAGATTTTTTCCTTTTAACCTTGTATCTCTTTACAGCACTGTAATGAATAGTATGCCTTAAAATAATGGTATTGAATAAGTAAACACTTTCAAACAAACAAACAAACACCCTAAAAAAACAATGGAACTGTTAAAACAAGGTTGCAGTAGAAATACTGCAGGTAGACCTTCAATGTAGCAGCTCAGCATTAAAACCTTCCTTCTGCAAAAGCCAATTCTGTACCTTTTCTCTTGGTCAAAACCAGCTGAGTTTTACTTACTCTTTCGTAACTTAGGGCATGGCCAGAAAGTAATAAAGAGTGCCCGTTTCAGGCTTTAGGTATTGAGCATTTGTCAGATGTTCAGCTTCTGTTCTCTCAACCAGCACTCGTGTGCCACTCATGTTCTATATCACTTCAGTTGCAGATACAGGTTAAAATGTGCAGTACTACAGTCTTAAAGGCTTTTTTCAGATTTTGTTTATTTTGTGTAGAAATGTTTGAATTTATAGCTTAGAATTCAATATGTTTATTGCCTTCTTTCTCCTAAGAATGCTGACTACACTACTGGACAAGTCTTTGATTTGTCTGAAAAATTAGAACAGTCAGAAGCTCAGCTTGGAAGGGGCAGTTTCATGCTGGGTTTAGAGACTCATGATAAGAAATCAGAAGATAAACTTGCAAAAGCAACAAGAGACAGGTAAGATAACACATACTTGTGTTCTTCCCTGTAAAAAGTGTTATTTTGTTTTAAACTTTTATCATGCCTTTAATTGTAACCTACCAATTAAATTGTAACCTACCAAGATTATAGATAAGAGTGATTAGATTATAGATAGGAACAAGAGACTCCAAGTGTCATTAATTATTTTTTAAAGTTGAAGAAAATCTTGCCTTTGTTAAACCTACAGTGTCTTTTCAATCTTTGTTTCTGGAATAAATTCAACTCTTAGTTTATAGTTTATTAAATAAAAAATCCCTGTTAAATTCCATCACTATATGGCAAACCAAAAAAGATGTTTTCTGTCAAATGTAAAATGGTAGCATTGCTCAAAAATAGCACATTTTATGTGGTTAATCAGGTTAAACTAGCAGTAAATAAAATTATTATATAGAACATGATTTTAAGAACTAGTGCTAACAGTCCAGTAAGTTTAGTTTACATTTGTGTAATACTTCCACTTACTTAAAAATTAAGAACTCTCTTTTCTTCATATCTCTTAATTAATACATACTTTTTCCAGAAATGAGGAAGGGGTTTTTTTTGTTTTGTGTTCTGTTTTGTTTTTAAGACCTAGATTGCAGACATTCTGGCCTTCATATTTAGCTACCCTGCCTGATAGCAAATACTTGCTATTATTAGTTAACTTATCATCACTGGGTATACAGCATTATTTCAAAGACGTTGTAGTGTTTTCCCTCAGTGTTCCTTACATATTTGTACAAAAATTGCTTCTCATATGTCTCTCCCAGTAGTCTTAAGAATGGCATCTGTGCTTAGACTACCTATATAATGTTATAGTGACCATTTTTCCAAGTAAAATCTTTAACAAAGGGTAATAGTATCCAACAAGTCATAGAGTATCTTGGGTTGTTCAAGAACGTTGTATTAGGCAAATTCCAGACTTTGAAAACCAAGAAGTACTGCACTGTATGTGCTAGTACAATCTCAGGTCCATCTGTGGAGAAGACAGGACTCACCTGCATGCATCTTAGGAGTGTTCTGGGTGAGATATAACTCCATTTAGTAAGGAACAATTCTGCAGAATCCCTTGGAACAGACTGCAAAAAATTGAATAAAATCTGGGATGTTCTACTTTTCAGATTGGGAGGTTTTCTGGGCCCTGCACTGCTGCGTTAGCAATATGTGCTGTAGTACAAACTTTACTAAGGAACTGATTTTTGAGATACCAGATGAGTGGTGAGTTTAATGATAGGTAAAAAAATCAAGAGAAAGAAAGGAGGCCTTGTGTGAAGAGACTGATTTATAAACAAATTATTTTATTTACGTCTTGCTCAGTATGACTCAGGTGAACAGGGGCTTTCCCTTAACAAAGAGAGGAGTCAGCTTGTGTTGGACAAGCCTTTGTTCCACAGTAAGCAGCGGGGGAATACCTGCAAATGTAGTATGATCATTGCTAAATAGAATCAGAGTTGCTGTTGTGCTAGTGTCCTCTGTTCGTTTGTTTCCTTGTTATGGAAAGTTAACAGCTCTTACAAGTTTTCTAATAAGCATGATCGAGTTGGAGGGCAGTTGACTTCACAGAAGTTAATACCCATTCACACTATTTTAGTTGCAGAATACATTTACAATGGGGTTAAGGCTGTTGCTAACTGACAACAGCTGGGTTAGGTGATACCTCCCAGTTCTTGTAGTGAAACAGTTAAAACAGCAATGCTTTAAAGACATGGGAAGGGTGGAGTTGCTGACAGGTTTGCTTTGATTTTGATCCCTGTTTGGTGTCCCATAGTACTGGCCGCATTTCATTTTCACATTACTGTCACATGATTACAGTTATTCTAAGAAATAACTCCTTCTCTGACTGTCCTACTGCATTATTTCTTGCAGCGTTTCTAGAGATTTTTCTTTTCTGTTTTTATTTAGTCATCATCAGTAGTTAGTTTATAAACTGTAAGACAGGAAGGAATTATTATTGTCATCAATTCTGCTTTCCTGTGTAACAGAGGCTACTGTAGTTCCCAAAATCAATTGTAACACTTTTACAGATGCATGTTTTTCTTCAACTAATAGTCTTTCCTAAGAAAAGAGAAAAGACAGTAGAAGACTTAGGCAGACACCAGGACAATTGATTCAGTGACACCTAAATTACTTTCACGAAATAAGGTTGCAAAGTTTGCTAAAGGATTATTGGGTGTATCTGTTTTAGGAAAAACAATACTGTAAGACATCAGCATAAAGGTGCTTACACTTGGCTATATGATATCTTCTGTTACTGTGCATACACATCTCTAAGAGCCGTTTCCTAAGAGTACATACACATTAGCCAAACTGTGCTCCAAGACGGCTTCCTTTGCCTGGGATTCCTTTATCTGTCTAGTAATAATTTGTCCCTATTCTCCATGCCTTCAGGGCTGATTCATCTTTTGCATTTGTATATTCTGGTCTGAGACATTTTTATTTGTTAGTTTGACACTACATCCCCCTAAGCCAGGCACACTGGATGAAGCTTGGATCAACAGGAATCCTCTCAGCTGTTTGGGGGTTTTGCACATGTTACATATTTTGGCTAATAACTGATTAGCTCTATAAACTCTTCCTTTAATATTCTCTGTAGAGTTTCTCAGAGGACCTATGGTTACTGTGCACTACTGGCCCTAGGGTTGGGCAAAGGAGATAAGGTGGAGAACAGTGAGAGCCTTCAGGTATTGATAACAGCTGGTAGCTCCATCCCCCCAGGGATTTTTCTGGTTTGTTTTTTTGGGGGTTTGGTGGTGTGTTTGTTTTTTTTTGTATAGATGACCACAGAGCTCACTTGCTATTGTTAATGTAAGATGCCCTAAATTGCCAGACAAAGAAGTTTTCTGTAATTGGTCTTTGTGTGTATAGTGCTCGTCAGTTTGCTTTTTAAGTAACTAAAAGCTATTGGCAACAACAGCTGAATTGCTGTGTGTGACTTTTCCTTTCTGGACAGTTGTAAAGATTCATGGGGTTATGGGCACCCTGAACTTCCAAAACAGCTGAATATCTTCAAATAAAATGACAGTACAGTTCAGTGTTTGGCCAATGTTGAATTTATGCTTGTTTTTCAGCTGCAAGACCACCATAGAAGCTATACATGGATTGATGTCTCAGGTTATTAAGGATAAACTTTTTAATCAAATTAATATAGCTTGAAGTGCATCACCAACTGATACGCATCTCCAAAGCAGAAAAAGTCATGGTTTCTTTTGCTTGGACTTGTTCAATTTGGGAAATGAAGCTGGAGTGGAAAATTATTCATTTAATTTGTAGTACTTTAATATTTCCCACCTGTCTGACCAGTTTTAAAGAACAAAATGTTCTGAAATGTAGTGCAACTTTTTGTTCTTTATCATAAAACACAACCAGTTTGGAGAATTGTTCCAAAAGAAAAATAAATGTGACTTACTGGATTTTGCTCTTAGGTATTTATCTCTATTATCCAACTGCAATAAAACAATTCTGAAAATGAGTGACTGTTCTGGGGCTTGAATTTTTTGGCAAATATTCATCTCCTGTTACTCATTTCTTATTGTTCCATAGAAGCACTCAGTTAGACTAGATAGGTAACCTATGCAGTATAAGAAGTTTGTTTCTCGGTTTTTAATTTCTGTGTTTAATTTTAAGAATTGAAATCCTATTTGCTTATCTTTTAACAAGCTATTAAATGTAATGGAGCCTTTCCTGATTTAGTTTCTCTGGTCCAGCCAGAAATGGTTTCTTCTCACAGTGATGAAACATTCGTGCACGATGCAACAGTATTTTGTGTGTAGCTTCACACTTATGATGGACATTTTATATTTCTAAGTACTCAGGTAATGACCAGTTCCACAGTGAAACTAGTAATATGTTTATATACCATTATTTTTCTCCTGCTCACTTTCTATTGCTTGTCATAGTTACTTGTTGCATGCAAAAGAACAAAATGAAAACATATTATCTCTGAAACATGCATTAGGCTAATTTAGGGCCACAGATACTAAAATGCATTAATCATAATTGCTGGCTTACAACATGGTGCTGCTGCAGGGCTGGTCTAAGTTTGTTTTGGAGGGTTTCATACTGCATTTCAGTAATTCAAGATGTTTGGATTTCTTTTAAGTTTTTATACTTAATCCTGAGTTTCCTGGGGTTTTTGGAATGTTTACTTTTGGGATCATTTATAACATGCTTTATACAATATGCCTTTGCGCCTTATACCTTAAGTAACTGATATACCTTTTCAACCTTAACTCTGCCTTGATGTGGGTTTTGTTTTTGTTTTGGTCTGGAAATTTTAATAGCTATTACTCATTTGGGGGTTTTCATCCAGATGGATTCCAGTGTATTTGAAGCTAAGATGCAAGTTATACAATGGAAACTTACCATTCAGCAGGGAAATACAGATACCCTGAAGCAGAAATTCATCAAGAGTTTTAAAGCAGCAGCATCCGACAGTATAGGAAAAATACATTTAATCAGAATTAGTAAAGTTGAGATAATTATCAGATGTGCAGTTTGATAGGAGAACCATTTTGTGCTTCTTCCAGCATGGCAGTGGTGGTGTCGAGGCAGGAGAAGAAAACTCTGGTATTTTAATATTCAAAGCTATTCATTTTCTTGGAAATGGCAACGATAGACTTCTGTACAAGCAAGCACAGTACATAAGCCCACAGCAGTACCTTTTAAGTTCAAGGAATACACAAGAAGCGTACCTGGCCAGTAACTTTTCCTACTTATTTTCTTCCACAGGTGTTTGTGAGACTTTAAATTTTAGCACACGGCCATTGTCCCACTCAATATGTGTTTACACAAAGAAGTACGCTGCTTCTGTGAGATAAATACCTACTAGGAAATATAACCTATGTTGCCACTTTATAGAATTCTCTTTGCATAACATGATCCAAAAGTTTTGGACATCTTGTATGTACCTGAAATATAAAATAATAGCTTAATCTCATATTGGTCTATTTAGTGTATTTAAACTGTCGTCATTTGTGATAGTAATGAGCTGAAATTTCATGCACGTAGGCTCAGACTGAATGTAGTAACAGTTGGCTTTAAAATACCAAGTTGTTCTATAAACTATGGGAATATGAATGCTGATGCTTGAACGCTGATGTGAATAGTTGTTCATTGAGTTACATGTGTTGTTACTTGCTGAGCATATAGTGTTACAACTCAATTTAAAATCATACATGTAGCGTGGCTATACCTGTGGCCCGTATAGGATCCGTTCTGCAGTGTTCAGGAACCAAAATAACAATGCCCTTGTCTTTGATCAACCATTTTTAGTGCTAGCATTACTCCAAATTCTGCCGTAACTGAGATCAGAATTCCATGCATTGAAGATGATTACCACAAAGGAGTCATCTGATATGTACACATACATGCACGCACACAAGTGTATCAGTGTATCCTAAGCAATGGAGAATCATTAAGGGAGAGAAAGTAGGCCTTAATTCTACCAAATAGTTTTGAGACTTTAAAAATACTAGGAATAAAGGTATTCTTGAGAACAATACGTGTTGTATATCAACAAATACGTGAATTCGTTCTTCCACATTTGCACCCACTTTCTACTTAGAAATTAGTTTATGCCAATGAGTGCCACATATCAGGTGATTATTTTGACAGTTGAAGTAATTCAGTACATACTAAAGCACATGCAGATAGGTTCTCTTTATTTATATTTTTGAGACAAGCATGCATACAAAAATTTGAGGGCCTGTGACATTTTAATAAATGAAAATCTAATTCAATGACCACAATTATTATAGTATTTGCCAACAGATATTAAAATTACAGAATGCTGAAAATGCTGAATTGTGTTTGAACTTCTTCCCTCCTCTGTTCCTCTGTTTTTTCAAGTTGTCATGTATGTTCACCTTTCTCATGTGTGCAAATTGTATTTTTAAACAATTTATACATTCTAATCTCAACAGAACCCAAAGAAATGTATGCATATTTGTAACAATCAAATACCAAGGACTAAGCCGTAATTCCTGACAGAGTACCAGTTTGCCTTTATTGTGTGCAGGCTTTAAGAGCATTTCAGATTTATTCTGTGATTGCTGGGACAGTCAAAGATGCTTCGTTGTCCTATCAGACCTTCTTCTCCTTTGAAGTTTCGTTGCTTGGTAAGAACTGGAACAGCAGCTCCTCGAAATTAATTTTCTTGCCTGAAGATTGAATGGTTGTGCTTCTGTTGCCACATGGAACCAGAAAAAAGACATATTTTTTCTTGCCTTTTTTAAATTTACTGAATGGAGTAACGCAGCTGTGGGAGACTGGCTTCCATTTCTGTTCACCTATGGTTCTATCTTCTAGTCTACCTAAAATGCATATAGGCAAGGTAAGGGGTTATGGGAAACACCCTGCTGTTTGGCCATCTCTAACAGCAGCTGTAGGAGTGCTGCTGGGGAAGAGCATATGAACCTGGCCACTTCTTTACCCGTTTTGAATGGATCTAGTAGCTTTTTAGAGTATTTCTAGTTCCAATAGTTTGTGCTGATTAACAGTTTTGTTTGCCTTACCCTCCACCTTTATGATTTATTAGCTTTTATTGTATCATCACCTTGGCCTTCTCTCCAAATTGAGAAGTTTCCACTTTTTCATGCTGCTGTTATAAAGCTGCCACTTTATCCACTCAATCATTTTAGTTGCCTTCCATACCATGTCTCATCCTGCTTGGTCCTTGACGTGCAGAACCCAGAACTGCACTGCACTCAAGATTTGGGTGCACCAAAGTTCTATAGAGAGGCAAAATAGTTCTTCCTTGTTCTCTGTACCCTTCCTGGTGACAGCCAGTGTTTCCTTGGCTCATTTGGTTGCTGCTGCTCATCAAGCTGATGATTTCAAAATCTTACAAACTGCTTAAGTTTGAAGTGGTAGGTACAACTCTGGAAAATGTTGTGTAGGCATGGTTCAGATTTTCCCAAGATGCATTTATTTACATCGAAGCTCCTCTGCCACATTTTTGCTCGCTCAGTTTTTTGAGATCATTCTGGAGTTCCTCACCATCAGCGCATTATTTCACTACCCAGAAGAGCCAAGTTACCAGCTGAAAACTTCCAAGATATTTGGTTATCTTTAACTCTTCGGGGTTTTGTCTGATTGATGTGTTCATTTCACAGAGGAGTTTACCCCAAAGATACTGACTATATTTCATAATGTATTGCCATACTTTTGGGCAGTGAAGTCAAATACAAAATATTGTGCTGCCTGTAACAAAATTCAAGCTTGGCTTGTCTTTATAATTCAGTGCAATGTCTAGCCATTGTTTCGTATTCTGAATAGCCAGGATACTGCACAGAGGATAGTAATTCAACTATAGGACAAACTTTTGATAATAAACACATTGGAGGACAAACATTGAATTGCAGTGACTGAAGGGAAGAATATTTTGCTCTCTGAAGGCTGTATGCTGGAGAAGGAGATGGTTTCAGGCCTAGGGCATGAATGATGAGGTGCAGGTGTAGGACTCATGCATGCACAATTATTCATTTATCTTGCATATGCCAGCACTGTATCTGACTGCCGTGTGTATATAGATATAACTGAAAATAAGCACTTCAGAAAGTTGCGAAGTTGTATTCCTGGATTATTTTAAAAGTAACTAACAGCAATAGAAACATTTCAAACTTAGATGTATATGGTATATCTGAGGTATCTGGTCATCTAAAGCAGGAATACTTCTATTTTTCAGATTTTATATGTAGCCAAGACACTTAAGGTAGTGAAATTTTGCTTTGAAGTCCCACAAAAACAATCAGGTTACCCTACTCAGTAGATACATTCTTAACTAATCTGTAAAATGTAACATCTTCACTCTGGTTGCATTTGCTTTAGCAACGTTTGTGGCTAGTGTTTAACAAAACTGTAAAAAGCTAATTTAGCTGATACGGGCCAATTTTTTTCTAAATAATTCAGCAAGCCCCCATTTATACCACGAAGCACCCAGATTTTCAAAAACTCAGCACTTACGCAGCAGGAAAATGGGAGTTACTGGGTGTTAAATGTTTCCCTAGGTCTCTTACTAATGTACGAGATTAGGTGTCTACTGGAGACTGAGCCTTTCTGAAGGATTAGCCCTAAATGGGAGTTTTAAGCAATAATCTCGATACACTGAAGAAAGCCAAATTTTAGAAAATGTTTCAGTCCCAAAAACCCTCTCTGCCATCGTTAGTTACCAGTATCTGGATTTTGTTACAAGCTCTGTAATCTTTAGCCTTATAAGCAATCTTTATACGAACAACCTCACTGAAGTCAAGAAATATTTTTGCTTTCGAAAAAGCTAATAAAAAGGCTAACCTCAATCTTTTGCTTTTGAGCAGCATCACAAGTTCTTCAGTCGTCCCTTACCTCACATTCACGCCATGCCAGAAGAAATATTCCTTGAGCTTTTCATAAATTATCTTTGACTCTAGTACTGGAATAACAGGCAGCTGTGCGCTGGCTACAACAGCTCCGTTCACCGTCTATCTTTG